ATGGAGAAGATGGATTGTTTATATTCAAAAGAAGCATAGAATGGTGGAATATAATTTAGGTTTTTAGTTAACTTGTTCTTTTTTCTATATATTTCACCTACTCATGCAGAATAATATACTTTGTGGAGTTAGGGATATTAATATTAGTTTACTTATATCTGAATAGTATCCTGGGATTAGGTTTGGGAAGTCCGGGGGGTGGGGCTCTCTTTATAGCATTGTGAAATATTTGTGATGTTTTTTTTCTATGATGAAAACAATAAAAAGTTTATACTTGAAAAAAAAAAAAAGAAAGGAGTCATATTCTCCTTTCCATATTAACAAGATACATAACAACTTTTAGGACTTACTTATCCACAGAAACATTTTTTTTCCCCACAGAACTTACATAACCAAAAATCAGCACATGAAAGCTCAGTTTAGAGCGAAATGTACACTAGTTAAAAGAATCTCAGATGTAGATAATAGCTAGACATGGATCCTAAGTCACACTTCATGTGAAGCAGCCTTATGAAAAAGCTTGCTCAATTTATCTACCTTGAGTGGGCAGACCACGATTTCACCAACTCCCAAATAAACAGCAGAAATTTATTTCTCTCTCACATTATCGCAGGACTGAATGCCTTGGAACTCGAGCCCTGAGAGCTTAGCTGTGGAGAGAGTTCTCGTTAGGACAGGGGTAGGCAACCTCGGCTCTTTTATGACTCATGGACTTCAACTCCCAGAATTCCTGAGTCAGCTATGCTGACTCAGGAATTCTGGGAGTTGAAGTCCATGAGTCATAAAAGAGCCGAGGTTGCCTACCCCTGCGTTAGGACAATCTGCATAATGTCTAAGAGAAAGGCATCTGCTGCTTTTTATGGTTTTCACACAAATATCAACCGAGAAAGGAGAAACCTCACCTGGGAAGGGCGATCCCGCGGAGACAAGAAAGTAATAAAGAGCCCCGCCGGTTGAATGCAAGAAGCGGCCAGGTTCAAAGGCCCAGGTCCCACCTACAACAATGTCGGCACCGCGCCGGCTGATCTAACGCCATGCCCAACAGACCGGTCCCAGCAAAACATGAGGCGCCCGAATTTAGGACTTAGAGTCAACTTCCGCCGGGAAGCGGATGACGATCCTGACAATTGGAGAACTTCCGGTCTGCTTAAAAAAGATATCCGTGCCGCCCCTGTGGCTGCACTTTAAAGTGTTCCTCTCCCCGAGTTGCTGATAATATTTGAGGAGGGGTCTTGTGTGTGTGTGTGTAGTACATTTTGGTAATTGTAATAGTAGTACTTCTAGTGGTCACTACTAATGGAAGAAGTGTTAAGGCGGAAGGGTTGTTTTGAATGGGTGGGCTTGACATTTTTAACACCCTCTTGTTCACGTTAGGATCGATACACAGTTCTGCAGTGGGTGATAAAGGCCAATGCCCACTAAAATTTATTCAGTTAAGTGTTTTTTAATTTGTTAATCACACAGTTAGGGTTGCCAGGTCTGCTTCCAAAAAATAGCGGACAAGCGGGGGGGGGGGGTTAAGTAGTAAAAAAAATAGACTGTACAGCTTTAGATTGCGTACCATTTCATCATAAAGCTTTTGAATAAAAAAAAATGTCCACTATTTTGTGAAAAAAAATAGTGAACATAATGTGAAAAAAGTGGACTGTCCGCTCAAATAGTGGACACCTAGCAACCCTACGACAGTCTTAAGCTAATATACTAAATTAATATACTAACATACTGAACTAAAATGTGACCGAGTGATTTAATAGTTAATGTATCGAGTTAAAAAACCTAGGGACAGTGGGCTCTAGTTCTGCCTTCGACATAAAGCTAGTTGGGTGGCTTTGGGTCAGTCACTCTCTCTCGTCCCTAGGACGGAAGCAGTGGCAAACTACTTCTGAAAATCCCTAAAAAGAAAACTGCAGGGACTAGTCCAGGCAGTTGCCAGGAGTCAACTCTGACTAAAGGCACTCAGAAGAAAAGGAAGGGAAAAGAAAAAAAAAAGAAAAACAAAAAATGTCTAACTGTGGATTTAGTGTGTTCAGAACCTCTCTTTTCTTAGGGAACCATAATTTGTCAGATTTATATTCCCTCTCCTCCCCTCCTCTCCCTTCTGAGTAATGCCATACTGGCTCTCAAAGCCACACACACAAACATTTTTTTCTATGTGTTGGATTACCATATACTTTTTATCTTCTTAGATACTAACAAGCAAGATATGCAAAATCCTCCAGAGTAGATTAGCTTGCCCTATTTTAAATATACTTATTAAAAATGTGATTTTACGTAGAGTACTGTAGTTTTACTCAGTAATGTAAAAGTGATAGCATGTATTTGAATTGGCTTCAGTGACATGCAAAATAAAAGGAAAATAAGGTATAAACATAGTCTATAAAATAGGGTCGAAATAATAAAACTTTGTCCTAAAAATTTGTTGCCCGCCCTCTTGGGTTGTCTCGTGTGAGGTCCTTACACCATGTAAACGCTTAGACCATATCTCAGACGGAAGTCACAATCAGTGACTTCACGTTTTTATCTCCCTCTAACTTTAACCGCTCTGGATAGCCACCCTTCATGCTTCCTACATTTTATGTATGGTTGTAAGTGCCCTAGCTGTTTTAGTTGTTGGCTTGGGGAAAAAATTGTTTGGTCCTCCAAGTATCTTATTTCCCATTCTTATATAAAGTGTTGCAATCACACAGTATTCCTGATGGCAGAATTGGAATGACATATTCATATCAAAACCCACAACAGGACAGGCAAATGGGAATGATGGTGCAGAGCTGAGCATGAGCAAAAGAAGACAAAGCCTAAATATGAAGAAGGGGGGAACATGAAAGTAGGAGTGAAAGCTTACAGGTTTATTGGAACAGTACAAACCTATAGACAAGGAAGAGAGACTGTAGTGACTTAAAATACTGGAGGTTTGTCTTGTCATCCAGATAGTGTAGACTGTACTTATGTACTTATCTTCTGTAATTTCCAACATTCATCAAGTTGGAGTTCACACTTAATCATTGTGTACTTTGTGGTTTGAAAAAGATGGTGAAGAGTAGTAGCTATTATACTAAAGTTTAGTATTGAAAGGAAGGAAGTTGTTGTGGAATATAAACAAATTTAGAGTTGTTTAGTTTTTTATCAGTAATTTTTGAAGTTGTTGGAATAGGATGTTGGAGTAGAGGATACAAGACAATGCTAGGAAGATTGGTATCCAAGTTGGATATTTGGAAAGAGAGAGAAAAGAAAATGGACTGTGAAAAGCTGATTTACCATGGCTTACAGTAATGGAGAAGGCGTTTGATCCAGAGTCTGCAGAAGCTGATTCCCTGAAGAGTGACTTAGTCCATGTAGTGAGACAGCAGCTGATTGAGCAGTATCCATGGCCATTGGACATCCTTCATGGCAGGGGGCTAGGTTATTTTGGGAGATGCTTGTCCCCAATTGTTTCTAGCCATTCCAGCAGATCCAGCAGAAGAGGCATGTTATGAGTCCCATCAATTAAGGAATCTGGCAGAACTTAGAAAGCAAGCCTTTTCTGTCAATGCACCTGCCCTTTGGAATTTCAGTATCTTGGAGATTAGGTTGTTTGCAAAAGACTCAGAAGACATAGTTGTTTTTCTGAGCATAAGGTTGGATTAACAGTTAGAGCCCATAGGATGGTTATTTTACTTGTTGTTTGATTGGTTTTTACCTTGCCTCCCAATTACATATTTTATTTTGCTGTTATGTTTTTTCCTATGATTAGCCAAAGTTAGTCATGATGGTGAGATGGGCAGTCATATAAATAAAAATAAATAAAATTGGTCCCCTAAACAACAAGGCAACCACCATTGGTAACAATATGGCTAGGAGGACAGAAACAGAATACTTAGTAGGACTAAACAGGGATGTCTGGAGGTCTGAGTCTTTGGCTAAGATTCTCTGGTTTCTTAGTGATACCTATAACTGAATGGGAAAGTAAAGCTGAATATGATCTTCTTTGGTATTACTGTTGGGAGATAGAACAATGTCAGGCACTCTGACTAGGTCCATTGACAACGCTGCAAACCCAGGGTTTAAAGGCTTGAAATGATGCCAGGTCATGGCTACCTGGCAGTGTGAAAACTCATTGGCATCTTTACTGAATGACTAGTTCCTGGGCTGTTATGCTCCTAGTAGGAATGATGGCAGGTTAGAAATGGGTTAGTTGACTTGCACTGGGGTCATTCCATGTCAAGCGATCTGGTTTCAGAAAAGTGAATATGGTGCATATTATTGAGATCAGGTTGGGTGATGGTGGGGGTGTCACTGTCTGAGATCTGCCCTCCTAGGTTTCAAGTTCTTCAGGAGTCTCTACACCTTGGTCAGAGAAAGGGTAATCTTTAAAGGACCCCCTTCTATTCTGTGAGACTCTGCTCCAAAGATAATGGAATGTGAATGGAAATACTGCATATTAAGTTGAACAGTAGGGATAAGCTGGATATTCAACTGTAATGACTATCCTGATGCCCAGGAGTCCCTTCCTGAACTGTTTGATTTGGTCTAGAGACTGATATTAGAGTCCCTCATAATTTGGCTCTGAGTGATTTCAATTTCCAGGCTGTTAAGAGTGGTTTGAGCAAAGCTTGGAGTTCATGGTCTCTGTGGCAATAATGAGCTTGTCCCAAATAACCTATGACCTTGGGACAGTTTTGTTGAATTCCTGGTCACCTACTATCAACAGAAGGAAATCAGTGTGCCTGCTTCCAAGCTGCCTCTCCTAATCGGCCAATCTTGGTTGGTTCCTTGGTTTATCAAGAACATCTAGGAGATGAAGTAGCAGAAGGTATGCCTGGCATGCACTGAAAAAAAAAATATGAAAAGTGAATTTCACTCAAGACAGGTGGGAACTCAAGCTTAAAACCTACCTTTTGGTGATAAGGGAATAGCAATACCACTTAGACTTATATACCTTTTCAGAGTGTTTTACAGCCCTCTCTAAGCGGTTTTAGAGTCGGCATATTGCCCCCAACAGTCTGGGCCCTCATTTTACCGTCCTCGGAAGGATGGAAGGCTGAGTCAACCTTGAGCCTGTGAGAATTGAACTGTCAAACCGCTAGCAGTTGGCAGTCAGCACAATTAGCCTGCAATACTGCATTCTAACCACTGCGCCACTACAGCTCATGGAATGAAATATTACTTATATTCCCTTATTACATTGGCAGATTGCTATAGAAACATGTTTAGAGTGGTCAGCTTCCTTTAGGGAGAAGGTATAGAACTTTTGACTTATTGTACCAAGAGTTTCTCAGACTTGCAGTTGTGACCCTTGATGAGCAAAATCCACTGTAGTGACACAGAAGTAATTATTTTTTATATTTATATTTCATGCTTCTTAGACCACCCATCTCCCTCAAGGAGGGCCTCTGCAAACAAACCTGGGATTCTTTCTAGTTGCTGGACTTTGATGAAGTGCACTAGGATTTGTTGTTGTCTGCCCCCACTGACTTCATTGGAAAGCCAAAAGGAATGAGAGATTGACACCTCACTTTGAAAGGGGTAATACCAGCAACTTTGAAAGAGACTATATGTCCCACATCTTAAAGATGCCCTCTCTGGATCAATCTGGATTTGACCATTATTATCCTCTTTTTAATCCTACAATAGCAAAGCACCATAGAAGAAACAGATTATTCATTCAGGATACTTATTTGAGCATGGGATGAAGATGACATTGATTGCTGTTGTGGATTATCTTTATTATATCCTGGTCATTTTGGGCCATTCAGTGATCATGGTGCTCATCAGCCAATTGATTGTTTAGTTATGGGCTGTTACAGGATTCCTCTAATTCCAGTCCTTTTCTTCCTGTTTAATATTTATATCAAACTGTTGGAGGTGGTAATTTGTTGGTTCGGTGTATTGTATTAGCACTCTTTGATCCTTTATCTCAGGGGTGTCAAACTGCCGGCCCACGGGCCGGACACGTCACGATCAAACCGCACCCACCCCATTGCCGGCAATGGGGAAAACATTCCAATACATCGCACATCATGTGACGTCGCGAGTTTGACATGTCTGCTTTATCTGGATGTTGTATTTGGATGAGATGAAAGGGATTGAATACAAACAAAACAGAACAGTTGTTTATTAAGGTTCCTTAGCATCTCTGGTGTCATCTCTCAACGGAATGACATTGGCCCTAAAGGAGGAATCCCATGACCGAGAATTTCTCCTGTTCTCACAGTACTGGAAGAGCTAATAAAAGCCAATAGATTGGGGGGGGGTTGTTCTTCACTTGTACACCTGTTGTGGCCCAACCTCACAATAATTCAACACTTCATCATCATCTATGTATAATACTTGACTTGCAACCAATTGCTCAATGACCGTTCAAAATTCTGACAGGCCCAGTGTAAAGAGTCTGATTTCTCTCTTTCCTAAGAGAAAAGCCACCATGAGCCACAAAATGAGTGAGCATCAGATACATTTATTTCACTTTTATTGAATACAAGAACAGTGAGCACACACGCATACATCACCAAGCACTGAAAGAGGATATGACCGAAAAGGATGGGACAAAAATTGAAATGGGTGGAGGGGTCAGAAGGACAGAAGAAATAATGAAGGAATGACAGCATTTCAGTTGGTTAAGGTGCTTTTCAAATTAAAAAATAACTATGAATCTTTTTAATTCATGCAGTTGCAGGCCAGTTTTAGAATCAAGTTGCGGGATTTGTTGCAGACAAGCAGTTGCATTGACCGTCCCTTTCAATGGAAAGACCCCCTCACCCAAAGAAAGCAAAGATTGACCAACTATATCAGATGGCAGCAAAAGGTGGAAGAAACCATGATCTTAAGAGTATGCATGGCTTCAATTTTACCACAAATAATAAATATTATATATATATTAATATAGATATCTATATATAAGCCACATCTTGCTAGGTAAACAAAAAACTAGTTTTTGTTAATGGCTACCCATCAGTCATGCCATGGGAGGAATCCACATCTATCTTAGATTCCCTTTACTGTACCTGACAAGAGTTAAGATTCTGGTCTTCTATAAATGGGTTTTGAAGCAATTAGTTTCCACAGGTTATAGTGGCAGTCTCACGTATACCAATTCATATAGAAGAAGCAACAGAATGTACTTTATATGTATATACCTAATTTCTGAGCTTTGTTTCGAAATTAAAAATGAAATTAAGTTTGAGGGGGGGAGAATACTTTTTTTGTAAAATTGAGGAAAAAAACATGATAATGCCACCAAGATTTTTGTTCGGTTTTTGAAATCAGAAGAACAAGATTTTTGTTTTGTACATATTTTATGAGCTTCTACATTTTTTGAGGTTTTGGTTTTAGGGCATCACATATTCCAGAAGAATAAAAGGAAACCAAAAATCCTCAAAAATCTAAAGGAGAAAATCACTTGGATACGTAAAAATTAGAAATGACTCTTACAGCATAAAGTTTATAGCTATGCTTTCAGTGTTTAATTAGGACATTCCTACATGCCAGAAACAGATCCAATTTTAAGGAGCCATACTAACAGCCAATGGCCCAGTGTCTCCTACAATGGCAAACAATTTATGATATAAGATACATTCACATTACTCCAATGATTATTACCATTTCCCATTTTTATTTATATTTCCAATTAGAGATAAGAGATGTCATTATCTAATTCACAATATGTAGAAGGAACAGTATAAACTGCTTCATTTAGATTTGTCTCTTTTCTTTCTGCTTTAATTATTCTTGAGGTAATGAAAAGTGGTAAAGGACAATGTCTAGGTTTCATTAATGGCAGAGCAGTTTTATTTAATAGTATTCTTTTTCCCAAGCAGTATCTGCTTTTAGTAGTTTGATTCTCTAAGCTTCACAGCTTACTGTGGCAGAGGAATGCATCTTCAATAAACCCATGGGTGGCTTCTCCATGAATAAATCCTGTTCTGATATAGAATCATTATACTTAAAGAAGGCAGAGGCGCTCTTTCAGAATGCTTCTCCCTGATAGATATAGTCTCCAAAGTTTAAATCGGACAAAATGAAACCGCATGAGAGTAGGACAGGGCAGCCTCTTTGGCAAGTTCTCACATTCATGGATCAGAAACTGGAGCCAGGTAATCAATAGGTTTGGAACCAAACTTTCAAATTTTGAAAAACTGGCATGGCAAATACAATAACAACTTTGCCCTAGATAAACACTTTGCTCTGAAAGACAGCTAAATAAAGGCCTTGAACAATGAAGCAATTTGACCTCATTCTGTGTGGTGACCCTATGCTCCTCCTAAACCTGGAGGATGAAGAGACATCCTTAATTGGCACATTTGAGGCATTCTAACTGGGCTGGAGTAACACTGATCCATTTTGTTGTCTTTGACTCCTTTCATATTGTTGTATGTGTCTTAACCTGTGACAATCATAATTGTCACCAAACTCAAGTGAGAGACAACTTCCTCAAAATTCCTTCTTTTTTTCCTATTCTTACTTTCATGGGATACTGGCATAATCTAAAAGTCTTGTAATACATTAACCATTATCAATCAAATAATAATAATGTGAAAATTCATTGTCACACTTAGCACTGTTTGTTTTAATATCATTCCCCGCCCTCCCCAGTTATATATAATATCCATAACTTAAAAGCACATCAATATGAAATCTCTACAGGCTGCATTTTGTTCGGTGAGAAATCATATACATATCATTTTCCTTTGCTTTAAGTGAAATAAAGTCATAATTATCTTCAGCAGAACAAGACATTAGATGAGAAGAGGAAACATTTAAAAAAGGAAGGACCAGTTGGGGAAAATAAAAGAATCCAATGATGAAGCAACATAGTAGCATGGCATGAAAATAAAGGATGATCACTGCACATCCCAAATTAGAAAATAATAAACAGAAATTATACAAGTGAATGGATTTTAACTCTTTCCTATCAGGGAATCATTTTGTAATTCTGCTTGTTTCACTAGTTGATTTCTTGCTTTGTTGCAAAGCATGTTTGCTTTTCCATTCAGTGTGCAACAAATGAATTATGTGTTCTTTAAATGTAACATGCACAATGGTGGTTTATTGTATTATTAATATTATTACCATCATGATTTTTTTTTAGATCAGTTCAGTCAATTCTTCAATTTATTTGAAGAGGTGGTTGGTTTTTCTTGTTGCTGATGTTGCTGTTTTATTCATCTCCAGCATATAGCAGCAGTGCAAGGATGCATTTTGTTTCCTGTATATATAATATATAATATATTTGCTATTCCTTTTTTTTTAATATTTTGTCTCTCAACATTATTCTTGTAGCCAGGACGTTCTATGTCTCAGTGAGGAATCCAGCATAAAGGCCCCTTCTTTACTTCAAAGTTAAAATAGATGCCAACTTCTAGAAACACAAAGGTCAAGATTCCTATACAAGGAGAAGGAAAGTAAGCACATAAATCAATATATACGGTGTCTATCCCTTTTTTATCAATATAATGCTACAAGCTTGTTTGACTTTTGCAATTTAATATTCTATAACAGCTTTAGCTATTTTAACAAGACTATACTGTATTAGGTATGAAGATCTATTTTGGGATGTTCCTCCATTAGTGCAGAACACCATTCACTCTAATTGTTTTATTGTGTGAAGCCCATAAAAAACATCCTCTGTAGGGCAATTCATCCAGTAGGACCAGACTTTCCAAGCAAAAACTTCTGGTAAGCATTCAAAATGGCAAGATTCTTAGCCAGTTCTCATTCTTTTGTATTAACTCACGCTTACTCTTAGTTATAAACCTAACTAAAGAGCTAACAAATTTACTACAATCGAGATAATTCTTCAAAACAAATAGCATCATCCACATGTAGTTTTGTTTAATTAGCCATTTTTGACAGAGATCAGTACTGTCTCACTAGAAGAATGCTCGTTTTGAACGGTACAATCTTTGTATACCATTTACTATTTTACTGTGATTTGGCTTGTAATGATCATATTTCTCCATGCTTTCTCCATATTTATACCCACCTGAGGTTTCTTGTCCTTTTCTTCTGGAGAAGGGTCTGTTTCTCTATATACTACAGCTTTGGTTACCAGCATATCAGGATGCTGCAATTTTGCCTCTTTGATGGCTAAAGCCAAAGCCTATGGAAAGAAAATAATTCACATTCAGTAGTATTTCACTTATGTCATTGGAGGCCAACCTTTGGCTCATGAGTAGTCCATTTTCTGCTAGGTTTTGCTAGGCCTCAAATTTTGGTAAATCTTTTAAAATTGGCTAACATGGAAGAAGAAATCAATGTTTCTTGGCTATTTTAAAAATGCATTTTTAAAAAGCCTATGGGTTTTAGTCTAGGCATATCCGTTTTTCACCATGCCCACATTCCTTCTGGCCCCCAAATCATTCTATAGATCCAAATGCAGCTTCAGTCACCCCAAAATGTGCAGATGTAAGAACAAGTGGAAATAATTTAAATAAAGAATAAGTGAAGGAACACAAATTTATATCTATGAATGGCAAAATCAATATTCCTAACAATCAATAAGCACAGCTTCACACTCTACTGCAGATTGTACTGCAGACCACAGACGACTACATTTCCCCCCTCTCTTTTATGGTATTGTGAATTAGGTCTACATACCAGAAGTATATCTGTAATAGTATCTAAATTATGCAGATATGATTACACTGTTATCTGTATGTCTGCAACAAATTGTAGTTCTCTTAAAGCAGCGGTTCTCAACTTATGGGTCGCGACCCCATTTGGGGTCGATCGATCATTTCACGGGGGTCGCCAAGCAAGGCTGTCTGCCATTTTTTCCCCTTTTCCGGCGGGTGCCTTACCTCCCTTGAGCTAGGCCAGCTGATGGTTGGCCTGCTCCGTCTCTGCCGCTTGCCAGCTACGCCTCGGCCGGCGCAGGGGGCGGAACCACGCATGCGTGGTGCTCCCGGGCAGGGAAAGTCCTCGACTTACGACCGGTTGGGTAGTCCTCGACTTACGACTGGTTTAGTCCTCGACTTACGACCGGTTGGGGGTCGCGGCATTAAAAAGGTTGAGAACCACTGTCTTAAAGTATTTGCATTCATACGTAAAAGCTGAAAGGTGGATACAAGATCTGTAGTCCCACCTTGTATTTCCTCTGGCTTTCACAAGTTCAAGCAGAAGAGTGCTGAATGTTGTTGTAATAACATCCCCGAACACACATAGAATTATGTATGTGCATCAAAGCATGATAATTACAACTTGAGTTCTTAAAGCTGCATGTATGGATGTTAGAGACAGTAAAGGGTAAGACAAGTTTTTAGATGAGTACCTGAGCAGGCATGAGCAAGGAAGGATTCGGGGATTGTGCTCTTCATAACCATTTAGTATCATGGTTGACCTCAGATGCATGCAATAAGTCTATCAGGAATTCAGTGCACTCACATAAATTCTAAGACTTGACCTTATTATCCAAATTTCCATTTTTTGCAGTTACAGCAAAAAATTAAATGAAATTAAAACTGCTTCTACCACACTAAAGTATCCAATAATACAGATGGGCATATTGCTGGATTTCATTTCAGTTAGAGGCCTCTTTCTCAGGCTTCTCTTTATGTCCACCATACTTCATAAATGTCCATCTTACTTCATAATAGACTTCTCTATTCACAGCTTTCCCTCTTCCTGCCTTTCTATCTTGAACCATGATACCTCTGTAAATAAAAAGGACAAGAGTTTTGTTCAACTTTGTAACTAAAAGCATTCATACTTGGTCTTGATCCACATCTTCATCCCCCGTTATGATGATTCGCTTTTCTATTCTGGTTTCAGAAAATCCTCCTTTCACAGTCTGGAATAAAGAAGAGAACAAATACTCACTTTGATATTGTAAATCCCATGTCTAGAACTGTTTTGAATGGTAGCTTTTGCTTTACTGGGGCACAAGAACTCCGTGACCAATTTGACACATCATGCCAAGCTAAACTTTGCTTAGTCATGATTTGTTGAAAATCAACAATTGGCTACTTTAGGCAATATGCTGTGGCATAAAAACTACAATACTAATAAAATAGATTATGGTTTAGACTGAAATTTATGACAATTATTCCTTTTTTACAAATACACTCTTGGGAGTAAGGAAATAAGCTACATTTAATTATAGGAGAATACTAAACAACTTGTGAGCCACTGGGTCATCCTTTCAGAGAAATTTCCTTACCTAAACAGAAAAACAGAATGACTAAGGGGGAAAAAAGGAGTGGGAATAGGAACAACTTTTAACTTCCTGCTGACTTGATTGCAGATGGCTGCCCTCCGGCAGCCAGTGGTAGGAGTGGTCTACCCAGTCTCTGAAAGGCTAGGGTGGGAATTGTCTACCTGATCTCCAAGGCCAATGGAACGGCCAGCCTACCCAGTCTCAGAGGACTACGGCTGGGCCAGTCTACTGAATCACTAGGTAGAGCCCCAGCAGCATGGAAGCACTGAAACTATCATCAACGTACCAGATTTCATTGCCAAAGGAATTGTGGGTACTGGATTTTGGACATACTCTGCAAGTTAGCCCATTTAAGGTACGTTGGTTCAAAAACTGTTGCCATATGGATGCCCTGTTTTGCCCAGTTAAAGATTAAAGGCACAAGAATTTTAATAGTCTATAGATAGATATGGTATTTATATAGGTACAATATGCCTTTTATCTAGAATAAATCTTTTCATTCATGGGAAGTGAGATGTAAGTCTGGGCACTGGAAATAATCTGATATTCTGTGCTCCTGCACTGATCTTACCTTGGTAACATGGGTAGTTGTGGAGGTGGAGAGGGTTTCTGCAGTGGCACCGAAAAGGCTGGTGAAGGCTTCTTTGCCAACAGCACCACTAGCAATCTATAAACAGGTGCAAAACATGATCCACATCAACAGATTTACAGTTCCTCTAAAACAGAAGTCATAGGCATGGGTTTAAGTTATGACCCCTGATACTCAGCTTTCTCTAAGACAGTTGTGAAGAGAAAGTGTATATTGCTCTAAAGAAGATCATGATCAAATTTTTGAGGGTGAATAAATTGGACCTCTTACAGACTATTTACTTTAAATCAACTTAGTTCTGAGAAATTTTGTTTTTGAAAGTTTTGCAAAATCAAAAAAATATTTTTAACAATGTATTCAGCTTAAGCATTTCTTATTTGATCCAGGTACAGTTGCAGTTTCTGAAGTCCTGCAGCAGTTAGAAGTTTTGAAGCAATTATCTGTATCTTCTAAGGCACTGATTTCCTTTATAAGGAATTAAAAGAAGCCGGTAAGTTGATATTACTTATTTACATGAGCTTTGAAATACAGTTTGACTATCCTGCTCTGGTAAATCACTGGGGGGGGGTGTGTTGCATTAAACTATGCCAATTTATTCAGTTGTTTCATGTAAGTATTAAATAGGAGTGGATAGAGAGATGAGATGTAGGTACTCCATATAGAAGGGGGTTTGGGTTAGACGTCATCCCTGCAACCAATACTGACTGGAACAACTAGAGGAAGGGAGCAACTAGTGCAAAACAGTGCCCCCCCAAATCCTAGAGGGTACCAAAACTGTTGGTATCAAAAACTGCTGAGACATACACCCCTCCCATCCAAGGACACATCACTCCAGTCCCTCCAAAGGTCTGTGTGACTAATGACATCTCAGTGCCATAACCCAGCCTGAATCTTGACTGGGTTCCAGGAAAAGGTCCAGAATCACAACCTTAATGGTATCTGAATAGTAATACGTTATTTCCTGTGTACTTAATCATTCCAGGCTGAACTGTGAATGTCCATACTACAGTTATGTCTTCTTCAGGTCCAGTGAAGAATTATCTATCAGGCTTGCTGTTTCTGTTTCAGATTCTTTTGTGTCTTGTAATTTTATTACTGATTTAGGAAACAAGGATGGGAAGATTCCTCAGAAAATATGAATGACGACTTACTGGAGAAATGGAGCGAAGGTCTGCAGTGCCTTTTGTAGGTTTGGTACTATGATCCTGGAAAAAAAAATTACACTGTAACTTATGTTTATGGGTCTAATCAAACAAGGGAGAATAGATGCTNTTCTATCCATATTTTAATCTTATTCAAAAGATTTAAGGAGCTCCCAAAATGTTTTGCATCTCTTACGTGATTATTGTCAAACTAGAAATAATCCAGTGCTCATTTTTAATTAACATGTATCTTATACATTTTATGTCCCATTACGTACATTTTAGCAAAAGAATCTGGACTCACTCAGATCCATTAAGGGCCTATGTGAGAGATGGCCAGAGTTGTCATGGGCCATTTCTTATGAATATAAGGACCCCAGTCAAGATGAACTGAAAGGGGAAGGAATTGGAAAAAGAGCACAAGAGTTTTATCTCCCTTTTGTTATTCAAAATCGGCCAAGAATGGTGGTGGCTACAAGTGGCCAGGAGAGTTGGAGAAGGACTAAGTGTCTCAAAATGGAACTGAGATGCTGTTGAAGTGACTGCTGACAGCAAAGATAGACAAGAGAGTCTCACATTCACCCTGTGTCACAGAGAGGCTAAATTGAGAATGCTGCAGTGCTGACAAATGGCCAGGCACTAATGAGTTCCACATGGATAACTTACTGAGGTTGTATATATAGTTTCTGCACTGCCAATGTGGGAAGTGGTTACTGCCTCTTTTCCATCAGTAGTGGTACCATCAACCTGAAAATGAAACAATAAAGTCAACAAAACTAGAGCCGCTAAAAGCACATTCCATTTAATTCTATACAAATTAACTAAAATATATTCATATAAGATAGTAAGTTTACTTCAATCTAGTCTCCTATTCAAATATTATCTTAAAACCTGATTATAGATTGAGCATTTCATGTCTCAGAGATGTATTTAAAAATAACAAATGGTTGTTTTTATCACCAGAATATGTAAATTATTTTTCCACTAGCAATTTTAGTGGGCTGCTTTGCCTATAGAATTATGAATATACATTTGTGCTTCACTTACAGCGGAAATTTGAGCGTGCAATAAAGTAACAGTTGTAAGTTACCTGTGTAATTTCTGTTGTACCAATTCTGTGTTGCACAGAGGTGTCTGTTTCCACTTTTTTCACAATTTCTGATTTCAGATTGAAGGACTATCAAAGTGATGATAAAAAAAGAATGATGATCAAAATATTGATAATTAATGTCAGAAATGGCTGTTTCATGAACAGTCCTTTTCCTGTCCCAAAATATGCATTTTTAATTCTCATTTTGTCAGATGTCATGGTTAATCAAATAATTCTTGCCTATTTAAACTCATTTTTTTTTATTCCAGAGCACATATTTGATAATAAAGGACTGATTAAAAATGTATAAACTGTATCATATGATATTTCTATAAAGATTATAATCTGGAAAAGTGGAATTAAAATTCAAACTGGGAAGAAAGAAAAGAACTCCAATGATTTGTTATTGAGAGAATAATTTTGAATCCTGTTTTTGAATATAATTTACCCATTTCAAATGCAATTTCACTAACTATAGTAAAGATTAAGCTCTTCTAAATCCATGACATCTGCCTTATTTTAGATTTTTCGGTGTTACACTGTTTCCCCAGTATGTTTTCTTCCATCTTTGACCTTTCACATTGTTTTAATCAATTTGGAAAGACAATTATTTTAGCGGTACAATATCTGCTTTTTGATTTAAGAGAATCAGAATAGCCAATTGTCATTTGATTCAGCTATGATGCTCATTTTTAGTTACACTATACATAAATACCAAGTATATTCAATACACATATTATTTGTTGAATTCATGCAACAAAGAGAATACACAAATACAATACACCCAATACAATGGAGCAGCCAGGCAAATGCAGTGGGTTAAAGTGTGATGTAACTTCATGATTAAAGGAATCACAAATGCCCTCAGAGGACAAACATGCATTTGAATGTCAGAAACAATCATGCAGACAGGACAATCACATTCATGAAGGTAAAATGTTTTAAAAAGCTATTAAGTGGATATGTTCTTCCAAATATGAGACGGACACCTGATCAAGCGGTGCAAATGCCAAGACAGACATTACTGAAATGAAGACATTTAGACACATCTGTGTATTATGTCTTCTTTTGTACCTCTTCTGGGCTTACACGATAAACCTTATCTTCATCCATTGCATCACCATCTTCCTTGGGAGCTGGTCTGTCAGATTCCTCAGTAGAAATCTGACCTTCTGCTTCTCCCTCACTCTTTTCCTTATCAAGCTCAGGGAGGCTCCGTGAGAAATCTTCAAAGGCTGCACTTTGGTAGTCACCAATGATAGTGAAGTCCACCTCAGCCTCGAGGCTGGAAGTCGAGCTGACAGTAATGCTGGAGCACTTGCGCTCGATGGCCAAATGGTTGTCTTTCAGGAAGACCGAGTCTCTCTCCTGGTCCTGGTCTTCATCCCCGGTATCACTTTCAGGAGCCCTGTGCCGAGGCAGCTTAGATTTCTCCTCTGTGCCCTCCCTCAATCCCGCTTTCTGAATGAGACAAAAGGGAGGAAAGAAGCTAAGGCTCTAAGCATTGAATGGCAGATGGTAGCCACCAGAAGCAATGAAACAGAGAAAGAAAGAGTGAAGAGGAGCATCAAAGAAAGGGTGTCGGACACATCCCAAAAATGATCACCAAAACTTGTCTCCCAGCAAATTCTCTACAGGGAGGAGACAAGGTAAAAAGATTGTTTCGTTCTACTTACAAAATTGCCAGGAGGAAATAAAATCGTAATTTTGAAAATATCAATCCAGATAAATGATTGGATATTTTATACGTAGAGGAGGAGTGTGCAAAAGAGCAAACATTATAAGATATTTAAAAAGAAACTCAGACACTCACTGATTGTTAGGAGAGGGTAAAAAACATTCAAAAGGAGGAGAAAAGAAGGAAAGAAGAAAGAAGAGGAAAAAAGTTTAAATGAAAAAGTGAAAGCTAAGATTGAATCTTTGCACATATTGCAGGAAAAAGCATTTTGTCAATTTCACTGAGATCAAGTCAACATGGTTTTTTTTTTTTTTTCTGGACCTTTATTATCTATACCTCACTTCAGTTTTTACAAAGGCTATCTGTCCTGAGGCAACGTAACATTTGGATGAAAAGGGTTTGTGTTGTGAGTGCTCTCATCTTGTGGCTGAGAAGCCATCAGAGGAAGCATGTTTTCATGTTCTTCGAGTAGAATTTTAATCAGTGTAATTGACAAGAAAAATCAGAACAAAAGAGATGTCTCTTAGCTCTTCTTTGAGGACTAGACATATACCTCTCAACTGCATTACAGTTTTTACTCAGTTGGCCCAATGGTTGTTTTTCAGCATAATATTAAAATATCATAGAATTATTCATTTACAAAAAAATCTCTATTAGGTCCTGAGCCAAAAGTAATTTAAATCAATGAATAGGAGCCCTACTGAAATAAATATTACCTTTTGTCCAGATTCTGGCATGTTCAGAGGTATGAGAAAAGATATTTGAAACACAGATAGGAATATATTTATATATATATATATATTTATATATACAAGCACCAAATAGATCTACATAAATAAATATATATAATTATACATATATATACATATATATAGCAGCTCAGTAAGCAAGAAGGAGGGGTGGTGGTGCATGGCTCGCCATCACTTAGGTTGAGCTTTTACACCACAAACACAAGCAGTTAGTAAAACAGCACTGAGACCTGAAGGGCCACTGGAGGAGTAGCCTTTAAACTCTCTTCTTTCGGACAGGCTTTTAGTGATAGGCCTGACAAATCCTTTTCTTCCCAAGTTGGTTCTTGAAATTTGCTCTAGATTAGAGAAAAGGGATTAGTTTTATGGACCAGAAAGGAGTTTGACTATTGCTTTACTGGAGCAGTGTGAAGCTCTTTGGTCTGTCAGCCAGCCACTAGCTTGTCAAGAGCATAAAAATAAGGAGAGCTCACAAGCCAAGCCAGAAAGGGGATCAACATTAAAAGATGCAAAAAGGAAGAAGCTGGAAGCATGAGAATGTGGCTGCTAGGAGTGTGCATGGGGGTATGGGCAAGGTATAAAGCTCTAGGCATGTCATCCCCTCCCACCCCTCCATTGAGCAATTCCATTCACAGTACTCTTGCCTAGTTTCAAGTTAGCAGCTGGCATTCTCTAGGTAGCCAAATCTTTAGAAGTTTTCTCCCTCTCTCTCCCACACACAGTAACACTTCAAAAGCTGATGAGCTGCCTGGGCCAGGAGGTTTGCATTCAGTAACTGAGCCAGGTCACACACACATACAGAAAGGACAAGGGATGCAAGCAGCAGTTTTCAATCAATGGCCATGTTTAAAGCCATGGCACATGGTGCATAAAGACGTGTCACACAACATGCTTTATGAACTTTCCAGTGGGACAGTTCATGTGGGAATTACCACAGCTTCTGCCAAAGTGATTTCACAGCCAGAATCAGGAGAAGCCAGTTCAGCTTCTCTTTCTCCTCCTTGCTCAGATCCAAGAGAAATGTCTTCTTTCCAAGATGACAGCTGAGATGGTTCTCCCTCACTTGTTCCTTGATTCTCAACTAGGTAGACCATGTCTGATGTTTCTCCAAGGTCTTTTGTTTTGCCATCTGAAGGTTGCAAAGCCACTATTAATTTTACACAGTTGTTTTCTAGAAGTGTATCTTTGTGTATTTCTATATTTGATGAATCTTTTGATATCTCACTGCCTGGACAACTATCGTGGAATCCTGTTAAGGCAACTTCTGGTTCATCAGAAAGTACGCTGTACATTTCACCTTGTTCAAACATCCTAATTTTAGAAGCTATGGCGTTTTCTTTATTTGTTGCACGTCTATGCTCAAATAAATCCTTTGAGCTCTCTGTGGAAGAATCTGCATCTTTATGCTTTTGCGATGAAGCTGCACTATGTTCTATGAACTTGAGTTGTTCCAGATTGGGTTTTTGCTTATTGTGTGTAGTCTGCACAGGTTTCAAGTCCTGCTTTGTAGAATGAGGAGGTTGGGAGCATTCTTCGTTCCATTCGGGTGACCCAGTCTTAACAGACTGTGTAGTGTCAAGTTCTTCTTTTAAAAAAAAATGACCTTCCAATTCTGAAGGTTTAGAACCAACTACAGAGACAGACTTTGATAATATTTTATCCCTAGATGGCTGCTTTAAGCCAGAGGTTGACTCCACAACTACTTCATCTAGATTTAAAGTTAAAATGATATCCTCTGATTTTGCAGTATTATCTTTGGTCAGCTCATCCATTTCACAGAGCTTATCTTTAGCCAAGTCCTTCCATTCTGAAATATTATTCTTAGCCACCTCTTCTAATTTTGGGAGTTCAGCCGATTCTTGGAAATTATATTTAGCCATCCCATTTAATTCATGAGGCTCATTTCTGTCATACTCTTCAGTCTTGGAGGATCCATATTTAGCTGTTTCTCTCCATTCTGACATATGTGAATTTGATGGTTTATTTTTAGTTGAGTCTTCTGACAGGGTACACTTATCTTTTGTTATCTGCTTCTGTTCACTAGAATTATCAAAGGCTCCACTTTCCATTTGTTGTTTGTTTATGGCTAGACTTTTCAATTCAATAGTTTCATCTTTGGCTGATAGCTCTGAGTCAGGAAGTTCATCTTTGGTGGAATTCTCAGATCTGATGTATTTATTTTGGACTAGTTCTTGAACTTCTGATAATTTGTCCTGAAGAGGCCAATTTGAATCATGAGTCTTATCTTGAACTAATACTGCTTCTTGTGATATATGTGAATCTCTAGCAAAAATTTCTGTAGAACAGAAAGGCTGCTGTTGCGAGGAATTCATGGTGGAGTCCATACATTCTATGGCTTCCATCTGAAGAAGTATTTGAGTAGCTTCCATTTCTTCTAATGTATTTCTTTTGCTTTGATTTTCTGACTTTTTTAATATCATGCTCTGTTCTCCTATGGCAGTATCAGCCTCCTTCTTATCATATTCTTTTTCCCCTTCTTGAAGTCTGCTGTTATATGTTTCATCAACTTCTTTTTCATGCTCATAAGAAGGATAAACTGCTGCCTCTTTTGTGGAGGGTTCAGCTTTTAACTGAGGCACTGATAATGGGATTATGGAATCCCTTTCACAGGCTTCATCTGTTGAAGAATATGCACTGCATTCTTGGGCACCTTTGATTCCATAATCATTTGAGTCTATAGGAACACCTTCCCCTGAAATTGATGAATGAACCTCTTTTTCATTTGAAGACTGCTTAATAGAATGTATGTTTTTCTCATCTCTGTTATCTTTCTTGGACTGCTCTGACTGAAGAATTGTTTTGCTGATATCTGACATTTCTTCACAATATGTGGGTAAGGGAAATGGAAGCACATTTTCTCTGTCTCTCTTTCTTATAACTGGGGCAAGACTAATGCTCTTCTGTATGTCTATTTGGTTTTCTTGCCTCATTTCAAAGGCACAAATTTTTTTTTGATCAAGTATTTCCTTGGTCTCGTTATTTGCTTCATCTGTTTCTTCAGAACCCAAATAGATGATCCGTTCAGAAGCAGAAGATGCTGTCTTATCACTTAGTTTCACTTTAGTTTTAACTGAGTCAGAATCTGAGGTATCCTGAAGAACTTCCTTTTCTGATAATTTCAAAGAAGTCCTATGTTCACTTATTATTATTCTGTTTTCATTTTTTGGAGACTCTGAGTGAAAAGAGGCACATATTGGCCCATCTTTCGATTGGAGCGGGCCAGTAGGTTGCATATTTTTAGTGGAGGCTAGCACCACATCCTTTATTTCGTCTTTCTGTTCTTCTTTCTTCTCAGGTTCACAAGAACCAAATAGTGATGTCTCTGTTTTATTGCTTTTCTCTTCTCTTTCCCCAGTCAGGTTTTCTGTCTCAGAACATTTCTTTCTGTAATCTTTCTCCTTCTTATCATCTTCCCATAATGATTCAAAATCTTCTGGACTGGCAATCATTTTGGCTTTTCTGTGGATCTTTATTTTGCTTTCCTCATTTCCTTTTACCTCTTGCTTTGTTGCTGCCTTGACCACCCCTACTGCAGTGGGCCCTTTTGAGAAGTCCAAATCTGTTTGCTTTCCTGAGGCACCTGCACTTGATTCTTCCTTCTGGGTCTTAATAACTTGTTTTAGTGCTAGCTCTTCCAGCCCAGAAGTTCCTCTTTCTATAAAAACCCAATGCTCTGAGCCCTGCATTGTAATTGGAGCAAGAAAAATTAGCATTAAAAATAAATTACTCAAATAGATGATAATTAAATAGATAACAAAGATCCTGACAGCATTCATGCATTATTGAACAGGAAAGTACATAAATCGTTATCAACTGGATGTAATATCTCAAAGCTGAGATCAATTGAGAACTAAATTTTAACAAGTACGTTCTCTCCTTTTCCAGTTGCCAAGATCTGAAAATATGCCTAACACCATTGTAACAGTATCATTTGATTACTGTAGTTTAAAGCAAACAATTTTGACCAATTGTGGACTGATATTTTGAATTAAATGATCTTAGAGTACTTTGGT